GGAAGCAAATCAAAATTTAGGGATATATTAGTCACTTAGTGTCTCACTATGTAAAATTACAAATAATTAAAGGGTTATATTAGTAAAAGTGATATTAAAATACTTAAGTTAACTAAATAATATTTATGGAATACCCGAACCTAGATTATTAATAATTAATATATTAATATTATTTGTCCAAACCTAATTACAAAGCATGATTCTTCGCCAATAGGATTCCGAAGCACCAGAAGCAGCCACGTAGACTCAGCGCATTCTGGAATTATATATAGGGAGGATAAGTACAAGGAATCATAAAAGTAGCCACAAATAAAGCACAAAACAAGACACATATAATGTACTAACCAACTTCCACATTACCAACTCCATAAAGTAAAATTTGGTACAAAAATGGTGTGGGGACTTAGAATGAATTAATAAGGACATTTGGGTGCTGGCTGAAAGTCATAGTCATATTAGGTAAAGGGTTTGTTTGGCAGTGGCAATGTTACCGTTGCCAAAAGGAATTTCCCACTCGATCACCAGCTGAAAAAAGCGCCAACCCAACGGCTACTACTAACTATGGCCGGTCCTCTTCATCATGTACAAGACATGTTTGTACTTTGTAGAATTTACATGCCTGATTGGCTTTCTACGCTTGACAAAATCTAGAATTTACAAGTACGACATGCTTTCTATTTGTAATAGCCTCAATTTTATCTCTTTAATTGGTTCTAGGTACAGTGATTTCTCATTGGTCTAAAAATGTTGATTTGATTTTTAATTGGCGGTTACGACCGTCAATGGTTCTGAAGGATGCAACCCGCCATTTAAGGGAGGAGGCCTTACCATATATGTGATGTCTTGATCCATTGGTCATGTGTCTGGCTCAGATATTCTTTAAGCAAGTCGAAAGGCTCCCGTTTGGTTACTCTCTGGCTTAACTTTTCCTCTTTCGATTACAAATGGTTCAATCATTTTCTGTTCTTCTAGTTTTACATGATTACTTTCTATTTGGCAACCTCTCGCCTCTCTATCCACCTCTTTGGTGGCCATCCTTTGAGGTCTGCCTCCCCATACGACTGTGTGACATCAAATGTCATATTACATTAGTCGTTAATGAAATAATATTATACAAGTATATAACCATACGATATATATCTATAAACAAAATACGAAGATTCCAAGTATATTTTAGTCGCATTTGTATAGTTCACGGTAGTGTGAGCACATTCAATAAGAAATATAGTTGGACTTGTAGATAGTCCTGCTCTCCTGCTCACACTAAGTATGAATTATAATATTTACCAACTGATGTGACAGAAGATTAATATACCATACACGGTTAGTATAGTGTTCAATTATTCATTATATACTTGGGTGGTGGATATATGTTAATGAGTTCGCGATGATGGGTATGGGAAATTTCAGATAGATGATGCACAAGAACTCTTTTAACATAGGGTTAAGTGTATTTAGATGAATCCCATAAAAGTAACTTGTTCTTTTCACTACTGCAAGTGATGAACATAGACCATTGTTTTAAATAGCTCGCTATAACTTCCTTTGTAGCTTTATTTATTTTTTTTTTCAAAAAACACGACGTAACGTTATATATTTAGCGTTTTTCCCGAAAAGCTTACGCGAAATGATGAAATGACACGTTTTTCTACGCTATTTTGCGTTATTTCATGCTATTGTGCGCGACATTGCGTTATATTTGTTCAACGACATTTAAAACAATAAAATATTCTCAAACTCGTATTTTTTAGGGATTAGAGTCATATTTTCAAATGATAACTAAAACTAAACTTTTGATAATGATATTAAAATAAAAATTTGAAAATATAAAATCTTAAGTTGAATAGAGCAATATTTATGGGTTCATTTCAATTATACTATTTTAATTTTTGATATTTAACAGTTAAATAATAATAAAAAGGGTGGTTACAATTAAGTTGAAGTTAAATAAAAATAATAATTAAATGAACATACTTAAAATTAAACATGAAATATTCATTATATTTCCGTTGTTTGTTTTACCTTTTAATATGTTTGCTTTATTGTTTAAATATTTATATTATGAAACTTACATTATAACATATGTGAGAAATAACTCTGAGATGTTATTTTTGAACTCATTCAAATATTATAATAGTTTTTGAATCAACTATCTATTTTTAATTTTTATTATTATATGCAAATATATTTATAACATTTTTATAAAAATATTTTTTTATACTCAAATAGCTTACGCAACATGCAACGCTATTTACGCTACGCAGTATAAAGACCAAAACGCTACGCATTACGCTACAGCGCGTTTTCAAATACTGACCTAGTCATGGCTACACATATTGGGTCATACAACTTTAGTAAGCTCATTTACGGACGGACCTCGTATGTTCACAATCCAATTTTAATATTGGGCTTCCAATTTAGGGCAGCAGTTCTCTTCTGGCCCAACTTATTCTCATTGGGCTTGTGATATTGGAACCTCTATTTTGCAACTTATTTTACAAGTATATTTAAATCAAGAGAAATTTACTCGTGACACGATACAATAGAATTTTTATTGCATCCCTATGAGAGTATCATTTTTATTTGTAAAATTACTAAGGCTGATTTATTGGGATTTATTACCTAACTTTATGGGATTTAATATCCCCATCTCTCTCTCTCTCTCTATCTATCTATCTCTCTCTTCCTATCTCGTTTCTTCTTCTTCTTCTTCATCTCCTACTCTTCTTCA